GGCGTAGATGTTATGGCAATAAATGAGACTTGGCTTAGGGACGGGGAGGAGGGGCATGCACCTACCGTGCCTGGCTACCGTCTGCGTCACCAGCCGCGCCCGCTGAGCGTGCGCGGCGGCCGCGGCGGCGGAGTTGGGTTTTATATAAAACGAGGCGTTAATGTGCGTACACACGCTCACCCGGTTGACCCGTCACATGGTTCGATTGAGCAAATGTGGTTAGTGTTAAACATTAATGGTACGAGGCTTGCCGTGGGCACGGCATACAGACCACCTTGGTTTGATGTTGATTTATTTTTCGACGGTCTCACTGCATCTATTGAGTCAGTTTCATTTTGTGACCAGACTGTTCTCCTTGGAGACTTCAATATTAATTGTTTGAGCCGCTCTGAGATAAAAGTTAGCAAATTAAACTCATTTTTGAATTGTTTTAATTTAAAACAAATAATAACATCGCCCACGCACTTCACAAACACTACCGAGACTCTCATTGACCTTGTCTGCACGGACGCTCGCGTTATTAGCCATGTAGTAGACCCAATCGAGGCACTAGGAGCGCATGCTTTTGTGACTGTGATGTTCAACTTTGGAAGGAACAAGCCACTGCCTTTTACTGTTACCAAGAGGAGCCTAACTAAAATATGCTCAAAAAAGTTTAACAATGACTTGCAATCTACTGACTGGTCACTGGCTGGTCAGTCAAGTGATATAAACGTCATGGTGGACAGGTTAAACCAATGTATAATTAACCTTTTTGACAAACATTCTCCTCTCAAGAGGCATGTTATTAGGGAAAAATCGTATCCATGGATTACGGATAACATTAAACTCATGATGAATTTGAGAAACAAAGCCTATGCAAGTTATATAAAAACTAAGTCAGAATCAAAAAAAAAATATTACAAAGACCTTAAAGCACTCGTACGAAAATCACTATTTTATGAGAAAGTAGCTTACTTCAAGACAAATATAAACAACAAAATTAAGTTTCCTAAAATCCTTTGGAATAATATAAAAACAACCTTGTTGCCTCTAAATCGGAAGGCCGAACTACCGTCACATTTTAATGATCCGAATAAAATAAATACCCACTTTCTAAATGTACCTGGAACCATGAACTCGTCTATAAGTAGTTTGAGTTATTATGAGTATCACAGATTCGCTGACAGTACTTTCACACTCAGAACGGTTGATGACAGTGATATTATTAAAATTATAAAAGGTCTCACATCTAACGCCGAAGGACATGATTGTATTACTCTCAACATGTTCATTATGACACTACCATACACTTTGACATACTTGACAAACATCATAAATACATCAATCAGCACCTCAACCTTTCCTGACCATTGGAAACTGGCAATTGTACGCCCGATACCAAAAAAATGCTCCCCTACCGATGTGACAGACCTTAGACCCATTAGTATTCTGCCCCTGTTGTCTAAAGTGCTGGAGAAGGTGGTAAATACACAGCTGACACAGTATCTAGAGGCAAATGCCATTCTCCCTGAATTACAGTCTGGTTTTAGGAGAGGTCGCGGCACGACGTCGGCTTTGCTCGATGTCACTGATAACATACTATCTGCTCAGGACAAGGGCTTCTGTACCATTTTGGTGTTATTAGACTTTTCCAGGGCTTTCGATGCCATAAATTTGACGCTACTACTATCGAAGCTGGCTTTTTATGGCTTTGATACTTCAACTGTGAAATGGTTTGACAGTTACCTCAGCAACCGTGCCCAATACGTCGAGTTACGAGACCAAAAGGGAAATATTAATAAGTCACAAACAACTCCCCTAATAAAAGGCGTGCCGCAGGGTTCAATTCTGGGCCCCACACTATTTATCACATATAGCGCAGACATAGTAAAAGAAATCAATCATTGTCAATACCACATGTACGCTGATGACCTTCAGATATATTTATCCTTTAAACCACAAGACTATGAGTTTGCCATCAAACAAATTAACAAAGATTTGGAGGGTATATTTGAATGGTCAGAAAGAAACTCGTTAATTTTAAATCCAGTTAAAACCAAATTTATGATATTCGGCACCCCAGGCTTATTGAATAAGATACCAATGAGCACCTCCGTAACCATTAATGTTAAGGGACAAAGTGTAGAGCGAGTAAGTGAGGCGAGGAACCTGGGCCTTGTAATGGACGAAGGTCTAAGGTTTGAACGTTTTATTTCGGACTGCGTGAGGGGCTGCTTTTATCGTCTGAAAATCTTATATAAAATACGACCCTACTTGTGCGAGGAACTGCGTGTGCGGTTGGTGGAAAGTTTGATTTTATCAAAACTAAACTACGCAGATACAGTCATAGGCCCCAGGCTTTTGGCACGCACCGGGAGATTAATACAAAGAGTACAGAATGCTTGCGCACGATTTTGCTACAATGTTCCACCGAGGAGTCATGTTACGCCTTTTTTAAACAAACACAATGTTTTAAAAATGAAATCACGTCGTAAACTCCACCTCGCCTGTCTTATGTTCGACGTGATAAAACACAAGTGTCCTCCATACCTGTACGCTAGGCTTTCATGGGTTGGCAGTCACCGGGAGCTTGAAGGTAGGCGATGTGCTCAGCAGCTCGCCATTCCTCAGCACAGGACTGCAGCCTTTCGTGGCAGCTTCCGTTATGCGGCCTCCAAATGTTGGAATAATATTCCGCCTCCAATTAGAGATCTGAAAAATAAAAAATCATTTAGGTTAAAATTAAAATCTTTTATTGTGACATCTCAAATTAAATTCGGCGACATGAATATTGACAAGTCTTTTATCTAATTTCAGTTTATTATTCCAAATTAGTCAATTTTCACTTACTTTTTACACTACCTAGCTTGGAAGTTTTTGCATTTTTGCGTGAGTAATCACGGTGTTTGTACTACTTGCACTTCGCCATTACTTTTATTTATTTATTTTATTACAATCACTCCACTACTCGTAAACTTTGCTGCCTGAGTTTTGTGTCCTGTGGCTGGTGGAGGGCAACTGTATCCTTGAGGGGGTACGCGACAAAGTGAACGAGAGCTCAGCACGGGTGTCACTAAATAGTACCTGTCTAGTATACCTACAAATAGCCAAAAACATTTTTCGACAACCCCCAGTTAATTAAAAAAAGAACATGTAGCAATTAACTCCCTTATGTATCATATTTTAAAAAAAGATTGTATTTACTTATTATGATATAAAATGTATTCATATCTGAATAATTTGGATAATATATTCATACACGCACACTTTCTTCTATATTCACATTATGTTTCTTACTTCTTTTCTTTACTGATTGGCGGTACCGCCGTCCGTGACGTGAGTCAGTGCAGGGTGCCACCTGAAAATCAGCGTTGAGCATATTTGCTCAACTATATGCTGAGGTGGAGGCCCTTTTGGCATGGGCACATGAATGTTATTATTTTAGCGTTTTATTTTCGTTTTTTTTTCTTTTTTAATACTTTATATGTTATTCTTGTTTTGTTTATTAATTTATTATTGTATTCATAAATACTGTGTTCTTATTATGTATTTTTATATACTTGTATTTGTGTGCCTATTTGTCGAATAAATGTGTTTTCTTTCTTTTTCTCTTTACTCATGCTTATTATAAAACATGAATAATTTTAAAGTCATAAAATACCAAGATTTTGTCAAAAAACTTATAACAGCTTCATCCTATTTTAAAACAACGTTAACAGCAAACTTCTAGTATCCATTACCGGCTTATCAGACGTTCAGATGATGTAAGGCCGCCTGGAGACGTTAATCTGTATGTCGCAACTTCCCGATGGCACCGACTTACCAGTCTTATCACTGGCTTGAATTATTCATAGCCAGCTTTAAGAAGTGCAGTCTCCATTTACTTTATAACTGACGGTACTTTTCATATTTTATTGAAGATGTTCTGATGTATGAGAGTATTATCATGTCCGTCATACACTGTGTGTGGAAGGATTGTAAAAGAGTTCTTTTGAGCTATATGATTGTCGTAAAATAATTATTACTTTAATGAAATCTTGGTTTCGACTCTACACTATAATTTCCCTACTCAATAATAGCACAAAGTTTAGAGAAATGTTTTCTTTGACTACACACCCAATTGACTGCACTGTTGCCGCGGAGGTCAACCGTATGACCAACGTGACACGGGTTGTATTCTCGCACAGAACAACTTCGTTTCTGATCCATTAATTGTTGTTTTAGTTCTTCTGTGATGTGTATCTACATGAAATTTTATGTTCGTAAAAGCAAGTACAATACAAGAAAAAAAAAAACCCAATGTAAACAGAAAATACTAAGCAATATATTCTAACAAATTCTTACTTATTTTACTTGTTCTATATCAAAATAAGTATAAAAATCCATCAATTAATCTCTTAATACATGAACCCTAAAAACATAACACACCTTTTTTGGGCACTCATGTCAAAACGGTGACTTATATTTATGTTACCTAAACAAAATGTAAGCCAAAAATAAAACAAACATCAATCTAATGACATAACAGTTAATAAATAACCCCATTATCTTACAAGCTAATAAAAGACAACATGTCTTGGCTTACCTTTACCTACACCCGTATCACCTTACACATACCCTTTCATATCCCTCATACATGAAGCCATATATCTCTATCAACCTGCAAATGAAACCCAACGCCACATCTATGATTGATGTGTTTCGACGGCCTGTTAGTCATTGCTACGCCGCCATTACTCATAATTTGACGTTACTCACTGTAATGTCATCAGCAACGATCGGTATTATAATGGGCTGTGTAATTTGAGATGGTTGCACAGGAGTTATCTGTTTTGGAGGGAAATTGTCTAAATAGAGGTAGTGGAAGTTATCCACTGTTATCTAAAAGATAATTTTGATCATGTGTTTTTGGATCCAAACTGATTATTCAGATGATAATAATATGCAGATATTTATGTATAGAATAAGTGGTAATGATGCTTCGTACGAGTATGATTTTGAATGTTGGTTTGTTGCAGATTCAAGGAATATAGTGTTCACAATAGTGAGCCAGCCAGAGCCTTATCATGCCAGTGTCGCCAAGCGACTAAAACAGGACATCGAGAGCCAAGTGCTGCAACTTGAAAATGTAAGATACATACTACTACTTTGTTTTTCTACATTTCCATGAAACCGATTATAAAAGGTTCACCAACAGTAAAATTGTTTACTCAATTTCAATTATAAAAAACATTCTTAACGACAATGGTACAGCGTAACAACCTCTTTTAGGCGAACACCACTATGCTAAAAATTAATAGAAAACTCACAAATATTATTAAAAGATTGTTAGAAAACCTAAAGAATACAGTTTTTAAGTAATTCTGCAACTATAAATACAGATTATTGACTTCTGGAAACAAAATAGTGCAGGGCGTACTCCAAGTATCCGTGGCGTTGACAATATCCGTGGAGTGACTGGCAGTGGTTGGATGAGAAGAGCTAAACATTAATAAGCTCAGTGACGTGCAATTGAAACAGGATCATGGTGATAATGACGATGGTGGACACTTGTTAATCCTCTTGGAAACAGAACGGCGTGATGCGAACTTTGCTTTCAAAAACTGACATGTTTAATTTGTCGATGTTACTCGTCATTTTAGCCTTCAGTAGATAATAACAACAGAAAAAGTTTATTCTTCAAAAAAATATCATATAATTTCACTTTTTACCACCTAGCGATATCCAAAAACACACATAACACATGAAGATTTCCCTGTATCCGGTGCATGGACGATCCTGCCACTCCTCGCTCCTCTGACGTCACAATACAGACGTAGTGACGTCAGATGGGTGCTGTTTGTGGAGCAACATACAGCAGTGCGCTGTGACAAACTCATTCAGGCTCTCGCAGCCGCTGATAAGCAGAAGGTGAGGAATGTGTGATCAGATTTGTAATCAGAAATGTTTAAGCACATGATTTAAATAATGTAAAATACAGTTTTCAACAAAAGTCATCACCAAATTTTTTACGGCTGTACTCAGTCCCAGTCCTTAGCAATTGTTTTTGGAACAAAATTATTAAAATAAACCTAAGGATAATAAAGACAGTATTACTAACAATGAGACTAATATTATTTTTTTCCGTTTTAAGCTATCTAGACGTAGGTATTCGATGTGTATTTGTTTCTACAAATGTTTGTAAACGCAGTCAGGACATGCATGGAATTCTTTACACGCTAACATATTTTTTGTAAACAAATCATAAAGTGTTTTATGTTACTTTCTTTAACAGGACGTCATGTGGATAGGCTACCCCCTAAGTGATGAGGAACCTACCATCATCCACCACTTCACCTTCTACGAGGATCTGGAAGAAGAAGGTGGCTTCGTGTACCCTAACTTCGCTAGCGGATTCGCTATGAGGATAGAACTTATTGAAATGTAAGTATAAAGCACAAAATAACATTAGATGTTATGCTCATATAAAATTTTAATTATAATGTAATCCTAACATACTACTAAATTCTACTATCCTACTACAATCCTACTATCCTACTATAATGTTACTATCCTACTATCATCCTACTATCCAAACTAATATTATAAATGCGAAAGTAACTCTGTCTGTCTGTCTGTCTTTTCTTCACGCCTAAATTACTGATTATCATATACATTTACATTTCACGCGGGCAAAGTCGCAGGCAGAAGCTAGTCACACACTACAGTATGATTATAGTACCTACTATTCTACTATAATCCTACTATCCTACTATAATATTAGAAATGTAAAAGTTCTTCTATCGATGGTATGTTTGTTTTTGTTTTACAAAAAACGGCCAACCAAAACCAACCAAATCACTCTGATTTGGTTGAATTTTGGTATTTTGATAGATGATAGATATCCTAGATTAACACGTGTGTAAACACAATGTTAACAGAAATCAGCCTGATTTCTGTTAACATTCCAGCGCGTGAAGCCGCCATCGGAAGCTAGTATAATATAATTAGCCTCTTATTCTGAACTACATTCTTTCTTTATATTGTGAACATATTTTTAGTTAAAATAACTGTGAGTTCAGTGTGCCTCTTTGCTAAGCCCTCTTCCAACAATTTCCATTGTACTCAGTCTCTACCAATCCTCCACCAACCCGTATTAATTACTTCATAATTAATCTGTTACATAATGTTATCTATAAAACTGATTAAAACAAACCATGAAGTTTCTGTAATTGATTTTAATTTAAAAAAAAAATATAATAGAGGATAGTCTTTATAGTCATCAGCCTAGAACATTCTAATTTTAACAAACTTTTAAATCATCCATCCTATAGACTTCTAAAGCAAATTGAAAGTGGACAGCGTCGTTTGGAGGCAGACTTCTCAATAGATCCGGCATTTGAACTGGCACAGCTGGTGTATGGAGGAGGCACGGATCCTGGACCCTTGCTGACACCAGACCTTAGCTTCTGCATAGTGTCTGGTGATAATTGCGCTACGTATCCAAGGCAGTTTGATATATGTGTGAGTAGTATTTTAATATTTTTTTGTTATTAGTCTGAATTTTTTTAATATTTACATACCTTTTTAATTTTTTGTTTGCTTGACGTTTCGGCATGGTTACATCGGCTATGGTGACAAGCAGACTCTTAAATTTGAATTATTGTTTCTGAAAACGAAGGCATCCGACAGAAGATTAAAACCTGTCGATGTAATCCTAAGATATTTTTAAGTGGCATTTGGCTGTTCATATTTCTCGGAGAACAAAGCTCGTTCGCGTAAGGGTGATCTGTGACAAGAATCTGTGTACACGCAAAAATCCCAATTCATTTTTATATTTTTTATTATCCTTAAATTTACACTAGAGTAGTTTCCTCTTACGTATTTAAATTCAGTACTTGTTCTTTCATTCTATAAATCTTATGAATGAAATAACTTTTTCATTTTGTATATTTTCTAACCTCAAATAGCATACTGTTATTAAATCTTTTTTCTTTCTGCATTATCTAAAACATACGGATATTTCGTAAAATTTATGAATTGATGTGTGTTATGTAAATTGGAATATGTAATTTTATTTTTGTCTCAAGAACTTCCCTAATTCCTTCCAAAATACTACAATATACGAACTGGTAAACTCTGGTATTTGTTGCCTACGCTAGGTAACAAATACCAGAGTTTACCAGTTCGTTCTTGATAAAAAAAATCTCAATAAACTTCACAGTACTACACTATAAATTTATAAAAAATCTTATTTTAATCTAATAAATTAAATAGAAAACTCATATTATCAAGTGCCACGTTATCGGCAGGGCAGTGCCATACCTGAGGACTCGATATTCTTCGCCGTGAAGACTTGGAGCGGCTTCCACAACACCAGGGCAAGGGTCGTTAAGAAGACATGGGGGAAACATGTGACTCACTTGGTATTTTACAGTGATAAAGATGGTAAGGAGATATTAGATGTTTGTTTTTAACAAAACACTGATCTTATTGCTATATTTTGTTTTGAGGTTTTATTGCTACAATCAGCAAGTTTGTCTACTTGTAAACTTTTTGAGAAAACTATTGACTCTTTCTTAAAAATCCAAAATCATCATCATCATCATCAGCCTATAAGTGCCCACTGCTGAGCAAAGGCCTCTTCTCATAATTCTCACGCTTGCTCAATGCGTGTTGGTGATTTCAAACTTATAATTATAAATTATAAGTCCAGGTTTCCTCACGATGTGTACCTTCACCGTATGCCAGTGGTGTCTAAATAATCATAGAAAGTACATATAACTCGGAAAAACTCACATTGATACTTACCAGGTTTCGGACCCACACCATTGTGCATGAGAAGCGTACGCCATAACCTCCGGGCCACCACGACTTTTCAAAAAGCAAATACGTGCTTTTAATATAATGTTGCTTCCTTCCTCTTTTTCTATATGACTTTGGGCTACATTTGGATTTTCTTCTGAAGGAATGTGATGGATTTTAGTCAGTACGAGTCTATCACCTCTTTTCGCACCAAATATGGCGACAGAAGATTTCTCCGATCAAAAAAAAAAAAAATGGGTTCGAGTGATACACTGCGCGCCTAAAACAACCACACAGATAATAAAAATAAATGACATTGTCTCGAACTTATGTTTTGCGTCCCATAAATGTAAGGGGTTGTAATAATGCTATCATAAAGCCTTCCTTTAAATGGGTGTCGCTCATCTGCTCATAAATCTGAATAGAAAGTACCTTTTTCGCCAGGAGTTGAAATAATAAAAACTGATAACTTCTTTTTTGTGTCGTTGGTCAAAAGTCTGTCAAAAATATTCTACTGTTAACTTACTCCTATAGTACCTTACTTAATCATCATCATCAGCCTATAAGTGCCCACTGCTGAGCTAAGGCCTCTTCTCATACTGAGAAGGTTAGAGCATTAATCACGGCAATTGATTACAAACTTATAATTCGAAATTATAAGTCTATCCGTATGTCAGTGGTGTCTAAATAATTATAGAAAGCTAGTACATATAACCGGTAAAAGTCACAATGGTACTTGCCAGGTTTCGAACCCACACCCTCATGCATGAGAAGCGGGCCTTAACCTCCGGGCCGCCACGACACACACCTTACTTAGTATTAATGGTGTTTTAGACAATTTAAATAATTTTTTTTTAAACTACTTAGTCATGGGAATCAACTGTAAAGCTGTATGCTCTACTAGTTTCAAGTTATAACGGACCTCTTATTCTTGAGCAGCGTGTGCGTTGTAACAACGAGCGGGCTGATGGCTCACAATAGTTACTATTCAAAAAAATATGCATTGCTGTAAGATTTGTATAAGATATTGATAAATGTTATAATTTTTTCGCCAAGTTCATCTTAGCTCCAAAAATACTAAAGTAAAGTTCATTAATTAGAGTAGGATTTTCAATAGGTTTATGTTAAGACGATTTATTTTTGACTCAGTCATCGTAATTCTCCTAGTATAATTTTAATATAAGTGCGAACAAGTCATATTTGGCTCGATTCCCTATTTTGATTTAATTGGAACGTTACAATTATGAACTTATTCCTTCAAATTAAGTGTGGGAGAGCCATGCTTCGGCACGAATGGGTCGGCTCGACTGGAGTGATACCACGGCCTCACAGAAAACCGGCGTAAAACAACCACAGCGTTGTGTTTCACTGTGTGAGTGAGTTTACCGGAGGCCCAATCCTTCCCCTCCCCCAATCCCTCCTCAATCCCTATATCTCCAAATCCCTAATCCCTAAAAGGTCGGCAACGCACTCGTAACTCCTCCGTTTCGGGTGTCCATGGGCGGCGCTGATTGCTTACCATCAGGTAATCCGTCTGCTCGTTTTGCAGACCTATTACATAAAATAAAATAAAAAAATCACTGTATGTAATTTATTTCTAGATTCTTCTCTCCCGGCGGTCAGTACGGGGATACCGAATAGTAAGACAGGGCACTGTGCCAAAACTATGGCCATCTTGAAAATGGTGCTAAGAAGAGTGAATAATATGCCCCACATCAAGTGGATATTCTTAGCTGATGATGATACCATACTTGGGTAAGTTTCAAACCCGAATATTTCAGGGACAGGTTCCACACGGACATGGTCAATACATTGCAATGACTTTTTTTTAATGGGGCGTATCCTCATGGATACCCTTTGTCTAGACAAGAGCGTCAGACAGCAGGTTATGTCGGACTCTTACCGACTAAAACCACACACTCAATCCCAGAAAACAATTTGAGCCTCAATAAATTTAAAAGTGTAATAAAGGCTAAACTTTGCTGTAAAGCATTTTATAAAATAAAAGACTACTTAGAGGATAGTCAGGCATGGGAATGAGCCGCTGTAATGTCTGCACAGGTCATGTTGACATGTTTGTAACATAAGTTACACTTTTATATACAATTTGACATTACGTTTATTTTTTATACAATGACATAATCACCTATTGTGACATTTTATTTTTTATTTGACATTTTTTTTTATTTATTTATTGACATTTTTATTATTTTATATTATTGTTAGTATAAGGACCTTGTGAGACTTGCCGTGCTTTTTGATTACCAGTTATCTGCGTTCTGACAGTTTGAGTACTTGCGCGACCCACCCAAATGTTCTTTAGATCGGTATTGTTCGTCGGACAACTCAGCAGCACTAGCTATACTGGTTGCAAACTGACACTTGCGTGCCTGTCTTCAGAACGGGTCCACTTAAACCGGTGTGGTTCTTTCCTCAAAAGACCACTACAGAATGAACTTGCACGATTCTCTCACATTATGTTATTTTTACATTGTCTGGACTTGAAAAGAGACTGACCTCTGAGTTTGTTTCGGCATTTCTTCTCAGAGTAGTCAGATAGGAAATGCCGGCTTCATCTAGTTTTTCACATATAAATTGACGTGTAAAAGTGCCGTTTTATGGCCTATTTGCAAAAATAAATTCATTGTTTCATTGTTTCATTGTTTCAATGAGAGGGTCACTGGGTACTCGAATGAACGAACTCACCTGCGACCCTCAAATGATGTTCTATCTCCTATCTTTTCGTAGCTAAATTCTACGACGATTCCTACGACGCCTTTGTCTCCGATTTGGGTCTATCCTCTCTCGATCTCTCTCTGCAGTTTCTTTCTGAAGCATAACAGTTTCACAGAAGGTGACTACGGCCTGCCAAGCTGTTGGATCTGCTAACATACAATGAAACAATGAAACAATGAAACAATGAAACAATGAAACAATGAAACAATGAAACAATGAATTTATTTTTGCAAATAGGCCATAAAACGGCACTTTTACACGTCATAGCTGAGATTACTACATTGCAATGACCTAATGACCTTGAAAATCTTTGGAGTTTTTTAATTCTTAAACAAACAATCATACATTGTGTTTTACATCTAATATTTAATATGCTATGAATAAATGTACGATCCACAATGTTTCCATAAATCCTCCTTTATTAGATTTTTTCCAAGATCTATCTTAACTTCTTTTTATTTAAAAAAAACGTTTGAAGATTTAAGTATTACCTAGCATATTTCAAAATAGATAGCCGTTAACTTCATAAGCGCCATCTAGTTTGTGAAAACAACAAGTTTTGACTGTAAGAAACATTATAGGGTCCAAAGGCTGTGCGAAGTCCTGAGTTGTTACCGCGGTGGCGATGACGTGACTGTGCTTGGGGAGCGGTACGGATACGGGTATGGGAAGAAAGAAACTGCTGCCAAAGGTAAGTTATCCTCCACTAAACTAAACTAAACTAAAAGCAATGCAAACTTAATAAAATTTTACATTAAAAACTATCTTTTACCGAATTCGTTCTCTTGAATTAAGCCTATGTAAGTAGTATTTATTCTCCCTAGAATACTTATGCAAAGGAGAAGAGTGGTTGAGTTGATAACACTCAAATTTTGTTGAGTTACTGGTAAGTTCAACTATGAGCCAAAAGTCGTGATTTAAAAATAATAATTGCCGTATACTAGAATTTCCTCTGGTGTCGGTTAGTGTGTTCAGAAACATATCATTTTAAATCACACCTAGTCTCCAAAAAACAATTTGTAGATCATACAAAGAGTTGTTCCACGTTGCATGGCAGCCAGTGGCCCATTCACCGCACCAAGCGTGCAGTCTAACGCGGCGATCAGACAGCGCCATTCATCAGAACTTAGGGACTTTGATTTGATTGATGTAAAGACTAACCCTGCCGTCTCATCGGTGCCGTTTGAACGGTGCTGTCTGATCAGTGCAGTCTGATCAGTGCGGTCTGATCAGTGCAGTCTGATCGGTATCGTCTGATCGGGTCGTCTGATCGCTGCGGTCTGATCAATGCTGTTCTTAGTATCGTTGCCACCTCCCCACAGGTTACGACTACATAACTGGTGGCGGCGGCACGGTGCTGAGCGTGGGCGCGGCGCGCGCGCTGTCGGCGTGCTCGTGCGGCGCCGCGCTGTCTGCGCGCGCTGCGCCCGACGACATGACACTCGGCGCATGCGCACACCATCGTCTCAATATCTCCATCACACATTCGCCACTATTTCATCAGGTATGTCGTTATTATTTGGTTTATAGAACTGTTTTTATGTAATTATATGCTAGTTGATTGGCCCTAAGGTCTTTTTTATCAAGTCTTTTTTATAAAGGAGAACACTAGAACTTAGCTCCGCTTACCAACAGGCGAGATAGAGATCAACAAATCCTGATCTTTACTTAAGAATTTGGGATTTTCGCTCTTCAATAACTGGATGAAAATTGAAGTGTTTTGTAGTCAAAGAAAACACACTCATAACTAACAAAGAAAGGAAATGATAGCATAGCAAAGGCAAAAAGAAGATTAATTTTTTACGATGTTATGATTTAAGTACTGCCTCACTACAAATATAATATAATGTTTTAAACCTTATTTGCTAATCACCATTCTTTCGAAACTATCACGTAACAAAATGAATTTTCCATCCCTAGGCTCGACCCCAGGATTATGCTCGCGAAGTATTAACAAGAGACCGTCCAGTTTCCTTCCACCGTCACTCCTCACCAGAACCTACCCGGGTATATGCCACCTGGTTCCAACATGATGACCTAGCAATCAGGAAGACCAGGAGAAGAGATGAGCTCTGAATAAAGAAGATGGCCGCTCAAAAGTATAATAATACTTAAGTACGATTTAAAGTTTAATACTGAAGGTCGTTTTGAAATGGGTTTTTGTAGCAAAAAAGTTATTTAGGAATATGAATACAGATTACTTACTGATGTTAAATGACTTAGTGTTAACTTAATTGATTTTCGAGGTAGCTCGTCTAGTTTCAAGCCACGAATGGGGCCCATGATAATAAATAACATCATAGATAATCTTCAACATCATTTAAAAAAGAAGTCATTTTGGATATTTAAAAAAATTGAATGACTTACGCCCGGTTTTTGAAAGGCTTGTCGACGCTAAAACTAACTAATCTCCTGTTAAATCTCTTGTCAAGTAATCTGATTGGTTGTTGATAATTCGGTCAACCAATCAGATGACTTGACAAGAGATTAAATTGATTTTAACATTGATCGGCCTTTCGGAAACCGGGGGTTAGTCACTGAACTACTACTCGATGTTACTCGTCTACTTTCGAGTCATTCCTGGCGTCCATAATAATAAACAACATCACATTGAATTAGTTGCCTAAAATTAGCCAAATTTTGAAATATTCTCTTATTATAAATAGGGCGACTCGAGTTAGTGGCTTAACACAAACTTATTACCTATTAAATGAATATTAAAAAAATGTGATAAAACAACATCACAAAAATATTTTAATTCTCATCTGTCTTATTTTGGGCAGCAATAGTAAGATTAATTATATATTTAATATTATAGGTAATGCTTTTTAGTAAATTTTTTATACCTATTAAATTATGCTTTTCGTATTTAATATTTTGTGTAATGTGCCATATACTTTTAATATAAGTGTTAATATGTGAATCGGCTATTTGGTTATTAAAACGCAGTAGGTATAAATAATAATTGTCTCGAATAATAATTTATAAGAATCTTATTAAGTAATTACTTTATTGGAATGTTTTTTAGAAATGTTGAGCGAAATCTGACAATGTGTTAGATTATTAACTGTTATATACAATACTAAACTTTATAACGTAACGTTAAAGATTATATTTCTATGTTTTTAGATTAGCACAATTTTAAAACGCTTGTAAAATACCTCTATTTCGTTAATTGTGGCATTTATTATATCAGGGATAAGTTTTTTTTTATATAAAATATTCTAACTAGGTAGCACGCGGCTCCTACTTCTACCCGGGTCCTATTAGTTGTAGCGCGATGTTTTTTCTTTAACCTTCCTCAATAAACGGACAATTTAACATATTTTTTTTTAATTCAAACTGATATTTCGAGAGATAAGAGCGTTCAAACCAACAAACAAACAAAATTCACCAGAGATCCATGATCACCTCGCCTAGTCAGAAGTTCTTCTTTATCTGATATGAAATCACAAAACCCCAAGCGAACGCTGGCGTTCGCCCACCTATAGTTCTGCTATTGTGTCTCTTATTACAACGATTGGAAGGTTAAAGAACGCTCTGTTCTCTTAAAGTGTTTATCATCAATTCCTGTGTTTTTATGGGTAACAATAAGCCCGTAAGTTGGTTTCCTTGCACAGACTATAAAAATTGTATTTAAACTTTTTCTTCCCTGTTACCTCCTTGGAGATAAGAGGAGTGTGAAGATTTGTATTTATTTAAAATTATGTCGTTATTTTTCAGTGAAAACATCGTATATTTTAAAGCATAGTTACTAAAAAATAACGAATACTAGATTAATTAAATTATGTATACTTAATTAATAGTTACCATTATAATTTAATAGTTAATATTATACCCAGTATTGTTATGTACTAAGATATAAAATTAACATATCAGTTATGTAATAATTAATAAATATTAATAAAGTTTACTATTTTTATAGTTTGCTTGTTTTATTTCGTATTAAGTACGAGTCATCCTCAAAATGGCTTACTGTCTGGAACAAGACAGGAACGGATTGGTTTTTAGTCAGTAAGAGTCTGACACTAGCTCTCGCCCCACCTATAGCGGGAGAACCCATTCAATATGCAACTTCAATACTTACTCATATGAATTAATTGAGGAAAGTTCTACTACGAGTAGTTTCATGTCGCAACGGGACTCTTATACATGACCAGCGTACGCGTTGCAGCGACGCAACGTGTGCAGCTGACGCGAAAAAGAGTCGCGGGTTCGATTCCCCACAGAACAACTCTTTGTGTGATCAACACATTGTTGTTCTGGGTCTGGGTGTCGTGTGTATGTGAAACATGATACAAGAGAAAATCCTAGTGTGGGGCAAAGTTAACCTGATACCTTTGCCAACGCGGCAGCCGATCTTCGTGATAAAGAACTTTATCCTTTACGTCACCATGACAGCTTGTACTAATTGGGAATTAGAATAATAGGTATATAACAGTGGGAGAGTCATGCTTCGGTACGAATGGGCCGGTTCGACCGGAGTGATACCACGGCCTCAGAGAAAACTGACAACACTCACGTTGTTTCGCCGTGTGAGTGCGGTTAGCTGATAATGGAGGGGGGAGGGGGCATTCTCAATTCTCTCAATTCTCAATCACCCTATTTATAATTCCCCAGAGACCGGCAAAGCACTTGTAGCAACTTCTTTAGTACTACAAGTGTCCATATCTGCTAATTGCTTTACCACCAGGTAATCCATCCAATCCATTGGAATAACTTAGCTAAAGTGAACTACAACTTGTAACTAACATAAACCTATCATATACTAGCTACTCTCACGCGGTTTCACCCGCTGCTCGGGTCCATTTAATTGTAGCGTAATGTTTTATAGCCTATAGTACCCAGGAACATTGTAGCTATCTATCAGTGAAAGAATTTTGACAATCCGACCAGTGGTTGCAAAGATTACCCCCTACATACAAACTTAAAAAATTTACAAATTTTACCACTTTATAATATTAGTATAGACTACATACACATTTCATTACTACCCTACGCATTTATCAAGAGACCTAATATTCCACGGTATAAGCCTATCCATCACCCCAAGCCTTTTCAAAGATGTTTTCTAATAAGATGCGCCGTTAATGAGAGCACCCCTTGTTCCGGCTAATGGACGCATTGAGCGCGATGACTTGCATCCTAAAAGCAAGTCATCTCATTTAATAAACAGGGTCTTGCAATAAGGGGGCGCTCTGTCATCTCAGGGCTTCACGAGCTACTACTGAACTTAATGCATCAAAATTGTCAAATAGAAAATAATATTATTTTTTACAAGTAGACGGACTACCTGATGGTAAGCAATTAGTGCCGCCCAAAGAAAACCAAAAGATTCCGAGTGTGGCGCCGGCCTTTTGCTGATTGAGGTTGTGGAGATATAGGGATGGTTATGGTGCATAAAATTTAAGAATTTTAGGAAAATCTAACAAAAATAGGCAAGGGAGGTATGTCTTAGACAGAATTTTCATACCTAGAAAAACCTACATAGAATTATTTTTATTGAAATATTTTCTTTTCACACTAAACGGGAGTCAATAGTATAATGAATTCATTATTACGTAGAAGGCACTTACTACATAGGCGTCAGATGATAAGTATACTTGCTCCAACAATATTCGTGTTTCTCAGTTCTACTGAACACGCAGATCCTCGACACCTAATTTCCTTATCATTGAATATGAAAAGATTATACTCCATTGAATACCCTTAAACCTCATTCACATAAAATTAATGATTCGTGCCAACCCTAAGCTAAAGGGTTGCGTGTAATTACGCGAACAATCTCCAAAAAAGATTAACATTCTTTTAAAACTCGCCACGTTCGGAATACGAGGCATTTATTCATGAATACCGCGGATTATAACTTGTGAACAAAATAATATTGTTACGTGCCTGACGTCACGTTCCTAACTATGCGGGCTTGGGTTACGGGATTGGATGAAATTAAACACTAATACCGGTTTTCAGACTTTCTATTGCACTTAAGTGACAGCGTCCACGGATACGGATAAGTTATCGGCGTTCCTCTCCAGCAGAGTCCGGCCGACTGACACAACTTTGCCGTTCACTGTTCACGCTGACTTAACTCACTTAACTGACTGCACTTCACTATTTCACTGTACTTCACTATTTCACTCACTTTTCTTCTTTTCACTTCTTCCTTTTCTTCCGAATCGCTTTGGACTTAGAACTCAACTGCCAGCGGTGAGCCGCAGTTCCGCTTATATACCCCTGGTCAGGTTCTAGAACATTCAATTTCGTTATTCTTTTTGATCGTCATGCCTCCAGAACCTTCCAATAATTTCGTTATTCATTTTTATTTATTCTCCTTCTCGCTCCTTAATTTTTCATTACTTTCACTCAAATATTCCAGAAAGTTCGACAAAACTTCCATCAACTAAAAAACTTCATGTTTACGGCGGGTCTCGAACTCGGGGTCTCTGTGGTGTAATCCACACGCCTTACCGATTACACCAACTCGTGTTGACAATTCACGACGAAATTTACAATCTCTAGGCAACGTTTGACAACCATCCATTGACGTCATGATGTCAAAGAGTTTTCTGTCACACTGCCCCCCTCTTAGATTCGCTCGTCCCGAGCATCGTTGCTGCCGTAATACCTCGCCAACCTGTCTATATGGACAACTTTCAAAGGGCTCCTTGAAGACTTCCGAATTCTGTAAGTAATGTCATTGATCTTCGTGACTATCTCGTAAGGACCTTCCCAACTCGGTTGCAGCTTTGGAGATTTTCCCTTCCTTCTGACTGGATTATGAAGCCAGACCAATGACCCCTCTTCAAACCCAACAGAATTGGCTCGTCGATCATAGCGCGTCTTTGCGCGATCACTAGCTTGAAGACCGGCCTCCCTGATCTGCTCATAAATGTCCTTACATTTTTGCCCTTAACTCGCTTATGTAATCGCTAAACTCGGTGCGAGAGTCACCAGGTGGACAGCCCGATACAAGATCTGCCGGTAATCTCAATTCCCTTCCAAAATTTGCAAATGCAGGCGTCTTTGCGGTACTTTCATGTACAGCAGTCCGATAGGCAAGCAAGAAGAGAGGTATG